CCAAGGTGTCACCTGACCGTCGCTTCTACGATGTGCAAGCAGTATCATCTTGATATGGTGTGCCATCAATGTGCACGAATGAGAGGGGTAGCCATCCTCACCCAATATAAGGGGCACCCGAAGCCATCCCCAGGGGATGAATTGCCACTAGATCATTTGGAGCTTTCCGTGCCCGCTATACACAAGCAAGAACACATGAAAATAGGAGTATGGAGCTACACCTCACGGTGGCCTGAACCTCGGTAAATTGTCTCTGCATTTGTGAAGTGACTTGAGTGTTTTAACCATGGCCGAACAATCTAGGAGTTCTCTCTAAGATCTGGTCTCGACGATCATTCAATGACATAAATTATACAATAACTTGCTGTCAAGTCTGATGCTTATCCAAAATTTTCAACTTGTTAATGTTTTTTGAAGTAAAAAGGTTGTATTTAGCTCGCCATTGATCAATCATTCATGTGCAAACTTCTTGCAGCTTTACACAGTAGTGGAGTAGGAGGGTATCCTAGGTTTCCAGAGACTTATAAACAAAATCATGCCTTATTCAGATAGACATGAATGAAACAATTTATTAAACAAATGGTGCAATCTTGTGTGGTTTGTCAATAAGCAAAGTCTAAACGAGTAAACTAACCTGGTTTGCTTTGTCCTCTTCTAGTTCCTTCCAAATCATGGGAAAATTATGACAATGGATTTCATTTCTGGATTACCTTCTTCTCGTGGGTATGAATGTGTACTAGTGTTCATTGACAAGTTTTAAAATATGCACATTTCTTACCATTGAAACATCCTTTGAATTCCCAAAAAGTGGCTGAGATATTTTTGGAAAATGTTTATAAGCTTCATGGCATGCCTCTATACAATATTTTAGATTGGGGTCCATTGTTCACAAACACCTTTTTGGAAAAACTTAGTTACAAAAATTGGAGCCTCATTGCAGATGAGTATTAGTTATCATCTTTGAAGGAAATATGCCCTAGAGGCAATAATAAAGTTGTTATTTATATTTTCTTGTATCATGATAGATGTTTATTATTCATGCTAGAATTGTATTAACCGGAAACTTAGTACATGTGTGAATACATAGACAAACATAGTGTCCCTAGTATGCCTATACTTGACTAGCTCGTTAATCAAAGATGGTTAAGTTTCCTAGCCATAGACATGTGTTGTTATTTGATGAACGGGATCACATCATTAGAGAATGATGTGATGAACAAGACCCATCCGTTATCTTAGCATAATGGTCGTTTAGTTTTTCTACTATTGCTTTCTTCATGACTTATACATGTTCCTCAGACTATGAGATTATGCAACTCCCGAATACCGGAGGAACACCTTGTGTGCTAAACGTCACAACGTAACTGGGTGATTATAAAAACACCTTTTGAGATCTTGTGTGGTCGCACTCCTTGTTATGTTGGTATTACTTATGAAGATATTGTGGCTCATTCGAATCTAAAGTCCTAATTAGATACCAGAGCAGTTGTTAATGAGCCCATTCGATAATATGTTTTAAGAGCACAACAACACCAGAAATCTCGGGCTGTTAAGCACATAACTAAATGGAGTTTCATTGTGGGTGATAATGTGTTTTTTGAACTTCAACCATATGTGTAGTCTTGAGTTGTTCATCGTGCAGATGACAAGCTGGCTTTCAAGTATTTTGGCCTTATGAGATTTCTTGCTGAAATTGGTGTTGTTGTTCACAAGCTTGCTTTGCTGGCTACCAGTCAAATTCATCCGGTTTTTCATGTTTCCCGGCTGAAGAAAGTGGCAGCTCCTCCTATGTAAGGTCGGAAATTTCCGCCTTCTTCCTTGATTGAATGTCAGGTTCTATCAGAATTATTCAGCGTAGAATGCGTCAAATTGGGCCTCACACTATTCCCGTAATCTTAATTGAAAGGTCATATTTCACACCTCATGCATCCACTTGGGATGGTGAAGATTCCGTGAAGCTGAAGTTTCATTGTGCATCAGCTTGAGGACAAGCCAATTCTCAAGAACGAGGGGGTGTCAGCAGCTCTTCACCAGGCTCGATGGCGAGAAACCTAGATGAGCCAGCAACCAGTCCTATCAAAAGGAAGAGAGTGCCATCTTGGCTTGCAAGCCAAGAGTGGGGCCGTTAGGCCTTGCAATGTTTGGTAAACGATAGCTTAAATAGTCATCATCTTAGTTTCGTCTCACATAGTCATCATCAACGCAAACGCAACCCACATTTGAACCGGAAATGGGTCGCGGACGGACCGCTTGCGTCGGCGCGGTGGACCGTGTTTCGTGTCCTTTCAACCCAAACCCAGGGCCAGCCCTGAGGAGGGCAGGGGGGGCGGTCGCCCCGGGTCCCCCAAGATCAGGGGGCCCCCTCCCGAGGTGTACGCACTTAGCCCATGGGCCATGCTCAGCGAGGCAGGCGAGCGATGTAGGGATCTTAGAAGGCAGCCCTTCCTTCGATCGCGCAGATACGCAACCTTCCTACGATCGCGACTTTCCCCATCGATGTGTACCCCGTTTTCCCCTTCAAAATTCAGATCGCTCTTCCTGTTTCTCTTGCCAGCGGCTGTCACCGAATCGATTTGTTGCTCTCAGGCCGAGGTGATTCCCTATTCTGGGCCCCTGATCATCGGAATCCAATACACATAGTCGAGCACCTCCGCCAAGCCTGATGCCAATTCATATTGTATCATCATCGAGTGCTGGTCGTCCGATTACCGACGCCGATTCAACCGATCCCAGGTACATCATGTTACCATTCCTCGCTTGAACTAACTAGTTTACTTCTGCATACATGACACTTAACTTGCACGATTCAACATATAAATATGGATTTAGGGTTTATTTACGTGTTTATTCAGACCATTCTATATTTGTGTCCAGATTTATTAGATCCTCTTGAATTTTGACCCTAAAGCTGGTTACATTTAACTCATAAAAAGGATGTTTTCTATGATTTCGTGAGATATAACACATGGTTTATTTGTCAAATTATAGGTAAAAAATATGCTCAAAACTCGTAGGCGACTAATAAAACCAGACAATGGAAGTACCTTGTTGAGCACGCAGTGCCAGAATTATGAGGACTCGTCCTGATCGCACACTTGTGGATTTCACAAGAGGATCACCTACACGCCAGGGTACAAATCATGTTACGGCAGCAGGTATACAAGCGTAAGTGAGCTAATTATAAATCCCATATTCTTTATCATTGTTATAATGTTTATACAACATATTTTGAGGATACGCACATCTCCAAGGCAGCATGCTGATTTTGTCGCATGGGAACGAGAAAAGAGCGGGATTTTTACAATGAGAAGTGCCTACACCCTCGCAACATGTGATCATGTCGCTGGTGTTAGCGGCGGGGCTTGCAGTGCATCCCGGGTGGGCGACGTAGCTTGTGGAATTGCGTCTGGAAGTCCTCGGTCCCTCAAAAAATGAAGATTACAATGTGGAAAGCTGCTACTGGAGCCCTTCCAACACAGAGTTGCAAGATGCTCAGGCATCTGGCGACCAGATCAACATGCCCAGTATGTGGCCGAGAGGAGGAAGGTTTATACCATGCCCTGGTGGCGTGCTCTCATGCTAGAATGGTGTGGACCAGTATGGGGGAGAGATGGCCTCTCCCAGATGACAAGTTGCTGGTGGATAATGGCAAGGAGTGGATCCTACATCTATTATCAAGCTGTTCTGATGATGTTCGTGACATGATTATTATGTTATGCTGGCGTATCTGGCAGCTAAGGAACGACCTCACTCATGGCATGGAAACCCCTCCAGTTCATGTGACGGTCGAATTTTTGGATAGCTACTACAGATCGGTGTGCCTGGCAGGCCGGTATACTACAGAGGAAATTCTCAAGGGGAAGATGTCATCTTCGGCTCTCCCAAGCAAGCCAGTGAAGACGGCGCTAGTAGCAGCGCCATGGCCCAAACCACCACAAGGCCGGGTAGCACTCTCGGTTGATGGTTCTTTTAGTGGTACCGACGGATCAGCGGCAGCAGGTATGGTATTACGTGATCAACAATGGTCATATTATCTTCTCGGCGTACCGCGTGATCTTCTATTGCAATGACCATTTGGAAGCTGAACTACATGCGATCATGCAAGGGACGGCATTGGCTATCCAACATTCCTCGCTCCTGGTTATTGTACAGTCAGACACATCGGAGGCGCTCTCGTCTTTACGGAATCAGGGTCTTGAGCGCTCTGCTTATGGTCATATAGTTAGAGAGATCAAAGAGTTGTTAGTCAGTAGGGAGTTTTATCCTCAGAGAATTCAACGTGGCCAAAACAGTGTTGCAGATCGTTTGGCCAATTATAGCCGCACCAAGAGCACAACTGCGGTGTGGTTGACCTCGGCTCCACCATGTATCGAGGACCTATGGCCTCTGGATTGTAACACTTCTTCTGAGTAATAAAGCTCCTTTACTTCGCAAAAAAAAAATGTTTATATTAGATAAGGGGCCCCGAGTTTTAGTTTCGCCCCGGGCCCTCAAATTCTCAGGACCGGCCCTGCCCAAACCCCTCAAATTCTCAGGACCGGCCCTGCCCAAACCGCAACGTGTTTTGTGTCCGTTTGAAACCAAACGAAACGGACGTACCAAATGCGGTCGAGCATTGGAGTTGGCCTTACATGTAAGGAGTGGTCGGGGGTTTAACAAGCGTGTATATTCGAAGCAAACATTCAAATGAATCTCGCTTCCATATTAAACACACAATTAATACATTCGGCTCTAAGTAATCGAACGACACGCAACAATGGCAGATCAAAACAACAAATGATGCTCAACTCGAACAGACTCCTCAACCATTAACCTTCTGATGGATTAGAACTAGACCTGTGTCTCGAAAGCTACCTGTATTATAATCTCAGCACCACCCCATCGAGCGGCCAAGCTAAATATGAACAGTTGACGACAGGATATATCCATATCATATCCCCAAGCATCGATCGAGCCTGCACTGCATCTTGTTCTCCCGCTTCAGCCAACACAAATCAGCTTCAGCTGTTGAGCACGGCGCAGTCGCGGCGGATGTTGCCGAGCGCGGGGTCCGTCTTGACGCCGACGCGGCCGAGGCTGGTCATGGCGGCGACGAAGGCGGCCTCGAAGTCGGAGCTGTTGGCCGCCCAGGCGTCGACGGTGGGGCGCGAGCGGGCGTCGGCGTAGAGGACCTGGTCGGAGGTGAGCAGGCCCATCCCCTTCTGCAGGTTGATGAAGTACTGGTTGTCGAAGGCGTGCGGCGTCACCGGGTCGATCTCCAGCGCCACGTTGGGGTCCACCCCGGCCGGGCACGCCGCCAGCAGCTGCGACGCGTACCCCGGGTCCATCGTCGGGTCCGCCGCCGCCGTCTGGATCCGGCCCGTGAACGTCCCGCAGTGCGCGAACCCCACCGTGTGCGCCGCTGCAAACAACAAACAACAACGCCGCATTTGTTTTCTTCAGGTCACGGGTGCCAAAATTCGTACAGTATTACACATGATCGCGTACAGGTTCTGCAGATTTCGTGCCAAGATGCCATATACGATTGTACAGTGGGTCTGAGCCTACAGTTTTTTTCTTCATGTATTAACAGCTCATCTTGCCGGCCCATGGTATGCGAACGGATGGGCCGAAATCAAGCTGTTGGACGCTTCTGGGTCGTGGCAAAAGGATGGATATGCCAATAATGCAGATGGCCTTTCTTTCACGTGCAAGCAAAGGCAGTACAGCTAGTCCTCCACAGTTTGACCCCTTTCAGATCTATACTACCGACCAGCAGCCAGCTACAGTGCACGCACACTCCACTATCATCAAGCTCAGTCTAACGGGATAACTAAAAATATGTACTTACTGACAGTGCTAACGATGAACCACATTATTTCTACTGTCGTCCCAACAAAAATCCCTCGATCAGCACGCAGAATCCAGCCCTTTTCGCCCGGCTTTGTGTGGGTTGCAAGACAGGAAAACAGAGCACATGGGGTACTTCCTGACTAGTACAGAGGCAGCTAAAGTAATTCGGGGGTTGGCAATGGCAGGGGCGGTTAGTAAACAACTCTTTAATAATTGCCTGGCCTTACCGGAGAGCGCAATCATGTCGGCCTGGGACAGGTTGTTGGCGGCGAACATCGCCGTCAGCTGGTCCAGGTTGAACGACGGCGGCGGCAGGTTCCCGTCGACGTTGCTCGCCGTCGACACCAGCCCGTCCAGCCTCCCCAGCTCCACGGGGTACGCCGGGCCGCCGGCCTGCGCGCGTCACGGCAAAGATGCTTTCAGAGGCATTGTTGTTTGTATTGCTGATAATGATATATGTATGCAGGCATCGAAAGCTCGGACGCTTTTGGTGGATCTAGAAAGGGCGGCGTGCGTGATGCGTGCGCGTACCAGGCCGATGACGTCCCGGGTGGCCATGGTGAGGATGTCTGCGCAGGAGACCAGGTTGGGGCTCGGGCACTGCGTGTCCACGGCCGCCTTGGCCTTGATGACGGTGTCGAAGCCGTCGCCGGCGAGGGAGAGGTTGCTCACGTGGTCCTTCTCCGCCGTGTTGTTCGCCGTCGACACGATGATGACCGACGCGTCGCATCCCTGCACACGCATGGTCGTCAGGCCGGGCGTCACTCATGGTCGTCAGGCCGGGCGGCACTCAAAGGCAGACAGGGGATTGAAAATGAAATGCTGGTAGATTAGATGCAGGGGCATCGAGCGGCACCTGGACGAAGCAGTCGTGGAAGAAGAGGCGGACGGTGGCGCCGACGGCGACGGGCGTCTGCTGGACCTTGAGGGCGACCGCGGCCTGCACGATGGCCTCCACGTTGGGGCAGCTGGCGGAGTAGTAGCCCTGCCGGAGCTGCGCCGCCGCGCCGCCGGCAGCCGCGAGCGCCAGCAGCGCCACCGCCAAGATCCTAATCCCGGCGCCCATGCCGCCGCACTGCGCTCTACCTAGTATCTAGCTCCCACGCCTGAATGCCTCCCGGTGCCGACCGATCTGGGACTCGTCCAGGCTCTGCTCCCACGGCTAATGACGACGGCACGGTAGTAGTACGAGCTATCTAGAAGAAGCTGTGGCGGTGGCGGTGGCGGTGGCGGTGATGATGACGATGGCGTTGGGTTTCTGTCGCCGCGGCCGTGTGCGGGTGCGGGTGTGTTTGTGGGTGGCCTAGTTATTGTGCTGGAGTAGTAGTACTAGAAGCCAAGCTTCCTCTCGGAGCGTGGGGGAGAGGTGGTGATGGCTCCTGGACGGACGTATCCAGTCTGGTACAGTGGTGAGCGAGGCGGCGCTCGCCTCGAGATGCGTGCGCGGCGCGGCGGTGGATGGATGGATGCAGCGGCGAGCGCGATCCAGAGAGAAGCCGGGGGCGTCCCCACGTGGACGCGTGCGTCTGTCTGTCCACGTCCGGGCTCATCACGGACATCGCACACCGGCTCTGCCCGCTCGCGCTGCAAACATGCGTGGGACTCGCAACCTCCACATGGCGCGGTTGGTGGGGCTCCGTCCTGCGTGTGCTCTGTAGTACGTGAAAGCCTTTTTTGGTGGCACAAATGACCACGCTCGCTCCGAGTGCACGCTAGCGACTCACAAAATCGGCCACTAATGATGCAGTGTGATTCTGTGGGTTGGGCTTCTTTTTGCTGGATAACACAAACTGAACCCAGGAAACAGCCGTGGCATTGCAGTTCCGTGCGCAGCATAGCCGGTGCGGAAATGGACAGAGCAGACAGGGTTGGCTTCTGGGTCAGGCGGCCTCTCTGGAAAGGCGAACGCGGCCAAGATGGGTTGTTTGTCCCCGGCCCGGAGCAGGTTTGTAGAGGACAAAGCCGAGGTACGGCATGACAAGCCCGGAGCAGGTTTAATGGTCCGAGACGATGGCATAGAGACGAGCACCAGCTACGTCTACAGTAGGAGACGAGATCCAGCGCCGGAGCAGGCGGCATTCATGTGCTCTTTCGCGTTTTCACAGCCATGCCGCCCACCTGAAAGGCCTTTCACCAGCTGGCCGCTCCCCACTCGCCACCACGTTTCCTTCTTAAAAAAAAAAGCTCTGGCCGCCATGTTTTTCTTTTTGAGGGGAGCCGCCATGTTTGTTGGAATGACTTGAATTGCACTCGCCGTTTCCAACACCACGTTACGTGTAGTCCAGTCCATTTATCCGTCGATGTTGACGGCATGCATGGAGCGGAGTTTTTATTTTCTCTCGGAGCATGCAGCGGACTTTTTTTTTTTGAGAAACTGCAGTGGAGTGTTTGATCCAGAGCGTAGGCCGGTGGAAAGGACACTGACATGAGCCGACATGCCTTTTTTAAGTGGGAAATGGCGCGCCTTTTGATCCTAATTTGTCCTCGTCTTTTTTATGAAACGCGCCTTTTGAGTTCTGACGAGTTGTGCGAGTGTGAGGCTGGTCATGGTGGGGAGTAACTTAGAACAGTGTCATGTCATATGCATGACACTAGTCTAAGTTACTATTCTCGTAGTGCAAAGTATCTTAGTAGTAGTGTCATGATTCGTTTCATTTATTGCCTTATAGACTCATTTTATTTCGGAAGCGCTATGTTACAGTAACATATTATGTTACTCCAAGCACCTCTTTCCTTATTAAATACTTGCCATATAAGCAAAATTGTTTTGGGATGTGTTAAGTTACTACCTAAGTTACCTCATTATGGGTGGGCTGACGTGAAAGTCCATTTAGTGTCCGCTCTTCCGCGGGGCCGCGGCCCCAACGGCTCACTGCAGCAGCTAGCGCCCGCCGCTGTAGCACGATAGATTGCCCGGCCCATGGTTTGAAACACGGCCCTCGTCAAGCATGGCTGCTGATGGCTCCCCAAGTCCTGACAAAATAAACAAGCAGCAGTTCTAAAAAGAGGAGTTCTTTTTTGCCTTCAAATAAAGAAGCAACGGTTCTGTTTTCTGAAGAGGGAAACAGGCGACAGTTCTGTGCGGTCGGAGTTTCAGACAATTAAACCAAGCCCAAGCTGATTCAGCTGAGGGAGACATTATGGACTTGGATCGTTTGTTTCAGGCGAGGTGGCCCGCGCCGGGAAGTTATCCGGCGACAGATAATGTAATGAAATGAGGCGACTTGGATCGGTTCGGTTGGCACGTCCATTTCCGGGGCGGTTGTTGGGTCCCTAGCACGGGCGGCTTCGGGTCTCCGGAGACTCACTCGCCTGGTCCATCATCGGAGCGCCAAGCTCGCCAGGGCTGGTTCCTGGGCTTGGAAAAGGCGTGTGTGTGTGTGTGTAATGGACTAAGCTTGGAGATTCTTTGGTTTGTTACGATCACGAAACGGAGAGGTGAACCTGTGGAGGTAAGCTGGGAGGAAGTTACCGTCGAAACTATAATAATGTGCTCAGCCTCAGCGTATATGCTTGTCTTTTCCGAACATTTTGGTCGACCAACTTGCTGGAGGTGGCTGATTTCGCTTGAGATTTTCACCCCCTGTCAAGGTCGGGCTGTACATATCGGTGACGAGATGCCGTGTTTTGTGTCCAGAAGTGTTTGCCCAATAATTGACACGGATTCGAAGCCCTGACGCTTCATTTGGAAAACTAATCATCGACCAAGAACACGTGGGCTGCCCAAGGTTTACTGAGAGGAATGTTGTGAGTCAAGAGCATATAGTTTATGTCGATATTAATATAATATCCTTCGTCACAAAAACAATATTTAGCAAATCAAAACTAGTTCTTTTTGAAAGAAAACTACTAGTTCAACTCCAAAAATCCCTGTGACCTTGGTAACTAGGTACAGGTAAATGGACGCGGTGTTTCTGCACACGAGCGCACATGTGCTCGCTATCAGGGCGGCTCGTTCACGTCTTGAGATGCGAGGCATTTAATGGTACAACGATATACGAGAGACCAGATAAGAGCAAGTACAATAGTCCTATTCAGCAGGCTATAACGAAGTCCACGTCAGCAAAAATCTGAGCTGGAGAAAGGAGAGAGAAGGAGCGGGCTCTTCGTGAGTCGCCGGGCTAAGACACAGAACTCGAGAACTTTCCGCCCGCTTGCAGCCTGATGCGAGCGCTAGCGCCGCCGCTTCCGATCCCTGCGTCTCCCTTGCCTCGTGCGCTTGTTCTTCCAGCTCTGCGCGCGAAATCAATCCTTGCCTCACTCCAAATTGCTTGATGCGCGCCAAATCGCCTCCAGCTTCCCCGAAATCGCCATCGCTCCCGAACCCTAGAACAGCCGGCGGCGCCGCATCAACGAGATGGTCAGCACTCAGCAGTCCAAAAGGACGGGTGCACCGGCACTCGCCCCGTCGCCGCTGCCTCAGTTCGTTCCGCCGTTGATGCATCATCTCGTCCCGCCGTCGGCGCCACAGCTGATCCTGCCATCGGCGCTGCACCTCGTCCCGCCGCTGGCACCTCACCTTGTCCCACCACCACGCCAGCCCACCAAAGGCAGCGGCGGCCTCTACACCATGCTGGCTCCCCCAGACGCAAGGCCCCTTGTGGTACAGGGATATTGACAATTTGACTCCAGAAGCATGGTATGTGCCCCCCCCCCTCGTTTACTAGTTCGGTCTTGCCATGCTAGCCTTCTATTTGATATATTTGTTCACCTGTTTATGCATCTCTGGTAAGTTGGTATTGTCATGCAATGCTTTCCTGCTTACATTTCTTTCCCTGCTTATCTGAACTCTGAACATTCAGATGGTCTTTGTTGGTGTCAAACTGTCAGATATTTACATGATATGCAGCATGCATTTTTCTATGATATGAATCAATAAAGTATTAGTACCTACGGATAACCATACGTATTTGATATGATGCTCAGCTGTTGTAATTTAAAAATGGATATGACAGAAACAGAAAATAAGTGTATCATCTTATCTGAAACTCTGAACATTCAGAAGTTTCTCTAATGAATTAAATAATGTTCATATAACTGGGAATCTTAAAATATGCAAAGGGAAATAACGTTTCGTGTACAGTTATGTATAATGATTTCCAGGATTCGTTTGTAAGAATATTGTAGCACTTAGCTTATTATAATGTGATAACTAGTCTGTGTGTGTTTGTATGATCTGTACTACAGTATGTTCTGATAGTTCCTATCTACAGAAATGTTCTTTGCTAAAATGTGATTTCTTTTTTATTTATTAAACCATGTTGTAATATGAAGTCGATTGCTTGATCAACTAGTATTGTCTTGGCAGGGGAGTGGATTCTCACCCACCTGGTGGGTTCCTTGGTTTATTTAACAACACGCCAAGCCTTTCACAATCTTGAGGCTCGGAAGCTTCCATGCCTTGCAGCAAAAGATCACAAGGAGTCAGTCATGCTAGAAACATACCGCTCGTTGATGATGCAAGACACAACTAGGATGTCTGAAGATGTGAGATGTGAGCATGTGTTGGCATTGAAGTGTTTCCCGGAGAAGCTATTTGGCAAAACTGACTAAGGTATTTCCTATTGTCCATTGCCTTAGTTAAATTTGACTTTTTTTTATCAAACCATCACTGCTGAAATTCTCATGTGCTGAAATATAAGTCTAATGCATCTGAGTCTTACAGTCATGAGCATGCTATCTTCATCTCATCATCATTAGCATTCATGTGGAAATGTTTACCATCCGCTATGTTTCCATTTTTTCATACAGTGGCTGGAGATTATTGATGCAGATGGATTCGTCGCTCTTTTCTATTGAAATTCCAACTTATCATCGTCAAGATCAAAACTAATGGCTTGTTTGCATTGTCTCTTGTTTGCTTAATGTTCTCTTAAAAAGACTGGTGTGATGTTTAAGTGTCGATGTCATGGTGTTATGTGCCATCAGTTTGTTCGTTATGATTAAAACTAACGGCTTGTTTGCCGGGCGTCTTATTTAGTTCTATGTTTGGTTAATGCTTCCTTGGGAAGACTCAAGCAATGTTCAACTGTGGTGTCATGGTGCTATCTGCTATGCACACCTGTTTGTTGATTGTTTATTAATCAGTTTTTCTGGGTCTGTTCTATTGGCATGAATGGCATATATGTATATATAATTATCGAAACTGCTTGAATATTGATCAGTTTCTTTTGGTATATTCTCTTGGCATGAATGATAGATATATGCTGATTGAAATGGCCACAAAGATGTTGTTTGTATTGGATCACAACAGGTGATATACACATGCAAATATTAAATGTCCATGTCTTTATTAGGGTCAGTCTTAGAGCCAACCTATAAGCCAGCTTACTGTGTGTGAAGGCTTTATAGATGATGTGGCAGGGGGTTATAGCCAGCAGCAGGCTGTGCTATTAACCATGCTCTAATGACGGGAAATAGAGGATACGTATCGCAAGGGTGCTGAGCTGTGGGCCAGGAAACGGCGGAATGCCGGCCACCGTTACCCCGTAGGAGTTGTTCCGTGGCTCGGGACGCCCGCCGCCGTCCTGATCCGTGGAACAGGAAAAACAGTTTCCGTCTGTCGTCGGGGCAGCGCGTGGATTGGCTGCTATTCGGCTGCATTCGATCCATTCCCCACCCCCGCCACAGGCGAGGTCGCCGTGCCAAGGATCCCTGCCGGCATGCAAAGGAGCATCCCGAGATCTGGCTCATGGAGTTCCTGATGCAACCAAAGAAAAGGTATGCGCCAAACCTATCGATTTTGTTGACGTATTCACTGATTAGATCAGCGCTTCATTGCCATCGGAATTCCTAATGCAGCCGGTCAGTAGGAAAAAAATTTGTTGATCTGATATTCGTCGGTCCTCGATCCTTCTTCTTTTTTGTCTGATTGTACCCATTTTGACGGAGGAGGCGGATGAAAGTGCGGCGCTGATGGATCTGCCGGCTTTCGGGACGGCGGGCTCTCTGTGGGAAGTGGATGAAGCGACGGCCCTTGAGCGAAGACCCGCGGATCTGTGAAGAAGAGACAGGGGTGCTGGCCGCAGGTGTTGGAGATGAAGCCACGAGTGCCGGGGGAGGGGGGAAGAGGGGAGGGGGGGCGGTCTGAACCGAAGAATACGTTATGAGTTTCTGCCGCTGACAATCGGCGTAAGAGTACAAATACTTGCATACAGCTATGAAATGGTGAACATCAGCGACTTACAAGTGTGGAATACGGTTTGGTGAAGCGTTGGAAAAAAAGTAGTTGGGCAATTTGTACAGCTATGCCTTGTTCTAATTTCACTGTATGTAAGCAGAACATAATTTCTGTGCAGTACATAAAAAATGCTTAATTGTTTGCACTGATAATTTGTAGGCCAAGCTGGGAGTGGAGAACACACGTTTGTGTCGTTCGGAGGGCCCTGCTCTGATTCGGTTGCCAAGATCAGAGGACTGTGGCTGGTACATCACAGAACTCCGACGGATCTGACGGCGCAAGGGGCGCCGGGCTCAGTTCATGGGTCGGATCAGTGGATCACGTGCCTGCAACAGCCCTCAGCAGGGACGCGCAGATCCGTGAGGAAGAAATAGGCCGGTCGGCGAGACGGGAGGGCTCGCTCCAGGTCTCCAAACTGTCCACCAGCAAGATGAATCTGCAAGCACCTGACTGGACTTGTGGACAAAGAGGTGCGTTGCTGAAAACAAATAACCCCGAATTTGTTGCAAAGAAATGTCGTAATGATTCATCTGGGTTTGCTTAGGGGGATAGTCTCTCTAAATTTAGACATGGATGATACTGAACCTATATAATTTGTCAGACGTCCATGAGTACAATAAATTCCCTGATGCATAAACTGCAGTGCAACGCTATATCGTGTTTTACAAGTGGGCCTAGTATTCTTCATCAAAAGTTATTGTAGAAACTGCAATGGTACTCCTCTTGTGCTGGAATCATCGCTATGTTACTTATGTCATTTTTGAGATATTATTGTTTACATCGATGAGATCCTCCGATCAGTACATCCAGCTAGCTTTAGGAATAAATCCAATAAGAATACAAGGATTGGAACCACTCCTTCCGCTAGGAATTGCTAATCGAACCAGTGATGAAGCAATCGCATTTTGTGTTTATAGTACCACCGTGGATTTTAATGTCGAAGGCATCTTAGATTAGAATGTAATATTTTCATAGGATTTTTTGTAGGAGTTTTTCTACACAATTTAGAGATCTTACAAATTGTCTTTTGTGTATTGAATGCATATTCACTCCCTCGAACAGTTGTAGAAGTCACATCATTGCAAATTCAAATGCACTTGATTCTTCTGAATTAAGAAAGTCATGGTATCTATATTTTCTATTTTCTATTTTTGTCTTCATGCATTCTAGAATTCATGATTCCAAAATTTATGTTTCATCTGGAAATTTACTGATGAATTAAATGCCATGACGTGATCATATAGTCCTATATGTGCAAATCACGTATCTTCTACTAGTAGTTTAGATTGACGAGATTCTGGGTTTTAGGACTGCCAACCGGCTTAAAATAATTTTGCATGTATTAGGGCTTATTTTTGTAAAGGATGATGTATTGCGCTGTGTGCGTAAACTATGTGGTTTGATAGGTTAATTCAACTAAATTTTGTGCTGTGCCAGCATTTGAAATTTTTTCAAGGTGAGGATTGGAGCAGCGGCACCGAACAGGACACCTTGGCACCTTGCCCCTCCCACGTGTCTGCCTTCGAGAAAGGGCCGATGGGTTTTGCGGAGAACCATTCTGAAAATGCTATTGTACCGATGCTTGGGACAAGTTTTGACTCGCTAGGAGAGACGTATGTTTTCTACAACCTCTATTCCTGGGAGAAAGGATCTGCAAATAAGATATGGGAAGAGGAGGTTGAATGTGGAGAGAATGAAATGTGTACAGAATTTGTGTGTGGACGTTCTGTAAGTCAGATTATATATACATCTTTTACTGTTCAATGGTTAATTTTTTAGTACGCTTATCTCATCACAACAACATGACCACATTTCATGGTTCGTGTTGAGACAGTTTGAACATGAGGTCTTGTTGGTATGAGTGCCCTCGCGCTGGTGTTTTCGTTGGTGGTGAGATAGTTTGAAAGCTTTGAGTGGGTGTTTTCTGATTTGTAATATGATGGGTGGCACGGTACCCAGGACTAAAGCACCAGGTAATGCATAGGTTGATTGGTAATGTTTTGTATTGATTTCTTAATAGGTGGTGATTTGTAGGAAGCGGTTGTTCTGGTCACGAGCACAGGTGAGCGTGGTATTTGGGCGGCTCGATATGTCATGGGGGTGCGTTGCATTGAATTCCTTTGCCATCTAGTGTCTTTGTTTGTTGAGTTCTGTTATATGTTTAAATTGCAGGAAACATGTTGGAAGGTGACAAGAATAAAAGCAATGAGCCACTTCTCACCTGATGTGTTTAGTCTTTCGTTTTGGTATTTTGGAACTTCTCGGAATCAGGCTCTCCTCAGCTCATGATTTCAGGCTTTCATTTTGTGATTTTATGACTCATCGGTGTTCTTAATTACTACCTCATAAGTTCAATTGGCTAATACGGTTGACATGAACATAGATTGTTGCTAAATTTCAGAGATGCACTGTCAGTTCAGCTTTTTGTGATTGCGGAACTGGTCAAAATAGTTTTATTTAGCTAGTTTAAAAAAAATTATTTAGCTCATAGTTTTTCTACAGAGAAATGACCATGTTTATGACCAAGAAATGGTCGATTCAACATTTTGGATATTGCAGTTCTTTTTTTTGGATATTTTCTTCTGCAGTTTACCTATAATCTTTTTCTGCCAAATTGTATTCAGTTTTCCTCTCCCAGCGGCAAGTTCAGTAGTTACCCCTCGTATCCAAACAGGGAATGTAAAATGTTTACCAGTGTATGATTTTACAACAGTATCTATTTGGGCCAAGGAAATTACTAGCAGAAAGCATAACCATTGTAAAAATTGTCTGGGTTGTCAAACGGGGCCTAAGTGATGAGTTTTTGTTTAACATGCAACGTGTAGCTTGTAGGAGAAAGCATTGGCTCAGAACGTGATTGGGCTCGCTTAATGTGACGGCCCATGACTGTATGGGAGCCGGCTCAGAACGTGAGAGGATTCTAGACCGGATGTAGCTGTAACGGCAGGGCTGCAATAATTATCTGATCGGCGTGGGCCACTCGAACTGTGCTTATTAATATACTCTGCCACATACATGCAGAAATACGAGTGGCAGTGTGAATCTCAGAGGGAACGAACATCTCAGATAACATGAGCATTTGTGCTCGGGAGCATAATAGCACTTTCGCAGGTAAATTCCGTTCATAAGACAGCAAAACGACATAGTACTAGCCAATAAGTTTTTTTTTGTGAATAAATACTAGCCAATAAGCGGCGGACTTGGAAATAAAATGAAGGGTGTGCACACTTTAAAACAATTGAAGTATATTTCAATTAGCTTCCACGGGCCTTAAAAATCAGTTAATTTTTACATGATGAAAAACTGTTTTTTTTAAATCTGGGCGTGCTATGGCACACCTGACACATTACTTTTGGTGAGTGCTTGATTTGTTCATTGACAAAAAGCCTAATTTTAGATTTTGAACTCTGCAACAAGTTTTGCTTTTAGCCTCACAATCTTTAAACAGTCGGAAACAATCTCTGAACTTACCAAAACGTTTACTTTGGACCATCGGCCGACTTCAATGCGGTTTTCATCCACGTGATGCTACTAGTACTTATGGAGAATGCTTTATTCATTTTATTTGCATATATAACCCGCACGTTCGAAATCAACGAATCAAACAACACATATACAACCATGTACAAGCCACACGGAACTGTGAAACCCAACGAAACTCTGTGTCACGGGCACACACATTTCGTGTACACATGCACCTTTGACGCATGCACGTACACTAATTCAGCCAGCGTGGTAACCCCGGTGTACACCAACGCATCGATCGATCGATCCCTCTCGCCATCAGTTGAAGACGTCGCACTGCTTGCGTATGTTGCCGTCGCTGCCGGACTTGACCCCGACGCGGCCGAGCTTGACCATGGCGGCCACGAAGCCCCGGCTGAAGGCGGCCGTGCTGTTGGCCCACGCGTTGACGAGGGGCCGCGTGCGGTTGTCGTTGTAGAGGAGCTGGTCGGAGGCGAGCAGCCCCCCGCCGTCCTGCAGGTTCCGGTAGTACTGGTTGTCGAAGAGCGCCGGCGTGGCCTGGTCCATGAGCACCATCGGGTCCGACGAGCCGTCGGCGGGGCACTTGGTCCTCAGGAACGCCGCGTACTTGGGGTTCAGCGTCGCGTCCGCCGGGCTGCCGTACACCCGCTCCCTGAACTTGCCGCAGTGCGCCAGCCCCACGGTGTGCGCCGCTGCACGCCCACCATGAACTGTTATGTTAGTACATCCACGCGGAGCTCTGAAGAGTAGGTGCAGTTGGGCGGCGTGCGTGGTTCACCTGAGAGGGCGACGATGTCGGACATGTTGAGCCCGTGCGCTCTGAACATGGCGACCATCTGGTTGAGGGTGCTGGTGGGCTGCGGCAGCTTGCCGGCCACGCTGCTGGCCGTGGAGCTCAGGCCGTCCAGCCTGCCCAGCTCCACTGGGTAGAAGGGCCCGCCGCTCTGTACACAAATCAAACATGTCATTCAGTGGAAAATACAGTATGCAGGGTGTGCGTGCAGTATATGCATGTGCGTACCAGGGCGATGGCGTCCCGTGTGGCGATGGTGAGTATGTCGGCGCAGGACACCAGGTCGGGGCACGCGGCCTCCACGGCCTCCTTGGCGATCCTCACCGTCTCGTAGCCCTCGAACGCCAGCGACTTGTTGTCGTCGGCGTCCATCTCCGTCGGGCTCCCCGGCGTCGACCGGATCAGCACCGACGCGTCGCAACCCTGCACGCATGCACACACGTCGATCAATCACTCGATGATCATAACTCATAAGACTCATAAGCATCAGTGCAGGCGGCGGACGTACCTCGACGAAGCAGTCGTGGAAGAAGAGGCGGATGGTGGAGCCGATGGTGCGGATGGTGTCGTCCATCTTCTGCGTCACCACGCCGCGCACGATGCTCTCCAGGCTGGGGCAGCTGCTGCCGTAGTATCCCGGCGACAGGTCGGCCGCGACGAGCTGCGCGGCGACGGCGAGGACGAGCAGCGCCATGCACGACGACCACCGGGCCATCTTTTTTTTTTTGCTCGAGCTACTTAGCTCGTTGCTATATCAGTATATGTGGTGCAGAAATGGATGGGCTATATATATGCAAGAGGTGCCTTGCACACAAGGATCATGTACTGGGTAGTTAATTTGACAGGCGCTCGAGGTGTGTGATACACAAGATTTTGCCACGCTGTGGAAGAAATCGAGAAGGGTTGACAATCTTTGATCTATGGAGAGATACGTGTGTTTTGGTCTAGTTTAGGACCGATTCTTGATGTGCATGCGTGGGATGTTTGGGGAATTCCATTTTCCCTTGATGTGACGGTGTCTCAATTGAATGAACTCTTGGCGCTTACATCATCTACAAGGAATACTCAGCACTAGCTCATGAGTTCTTACTTGCCATGTAAGGAATTTTAGTGTCGGGCTTGGCTAAATGGCTTCCTCATCACACCCCCGGGAATAGATTGAGAATAGCGACGCTCTCACTGCTCCAGTTCAAAAGGGCAAGTAGAGAAGTAATTGAACACTCTGAATTTTACTGTGACCTTCGTTGACAGCATGGACACGATGCTTGATATGACTAGTTAATCAGTAAGTTTCCATCGAGTGAAATTACAACGCAGGTGTATATATCATTTTTACATGTACTCCCTCCGTTCGGAATTACTTGTTGTAGAAATGGATGTATCTAGACATTTTTTAGTTTTAGATACATCCATTTCTGCGACAAGTAATTTGGAACGGAGAAAGTATGTGCCAGCTAGCATGATGTCATGTCACTGTGATCAGCATTACTAGTTCAAGTGAGATTACTCCATTGTTGTATCACTGTCGAGCCGTGGAGGTGCTTTCTGGCAAACTTCCGAGAATAAGGATTTCATATAAAAGGGATGACTTTTCTGACGATGAGGTATTTGGATGGATGATTATATCGCCGCAGAAAAATCTAGATGATTTGAATGGAATGCATCCTGTGCTGCGTTTAATCACGAATTTGATTACATAAGTGGATCATTTCCCGATCGCACTCAGCAAACTATATGCTTCCCTGATCATTAGTTTGATCACGAATCAAGTTGGAAACCTATGTATGCTGTCATCTTTGCCATTTGTTTGACCTAATCTTTTTTCATCAATTTCTCATTGATGATCAATTGTTGGACCGTGTTCTTGTAGGAGGAGTAATTGGACACTCAATCTACACCGGCTTCAGATTATTAGGGGGGCATAGTTTGATGACTACATCCTAAACATAATACTACTATAAGTCAAGTAGCAAACAAATTAATGCGTTCTGCAGATCAAGATGTACTAGGAATTTGGAGCCACTGCCAGTTGCTCGACATCGACGACACGCCACGCGTAACCAGCGTTGAAAATGATCATGTGGCACAATAAACAAACTAACCACTTCCATTAATATAAACATCTTCCTGGGCAATTAGCAGTCCTCTTTGATCGGGTTGTGACAAAAAGAATATCAGGGCGGCTTGTGAATACTTCAAAATTTTGTTTGCAACTGGTATACATCATCGCCTGAGGATATCCTAGAGATATAGAAACTTTTCCCATACACTTATTTATAGGGTCCCGATAACACCCACATATGTGGGTGTTAAGAGGTCTGGCCACACGTTTCGTGGGGTATCTAAAGAAGCAGTCCACATATCTGCATGTGGGCAAAGCAAATAATGCCCACACGCCCGGTCTTTTACCTCGCGGTCTCTCCCACACGTCTACGTGTAGACAAAATAGATAACACCTACACGTCAGTACTCACGGTCCCGCACGCTCCGCGTGACAGTCATCACGTGTTCCCGCAGTTGCCATGGTCCGAACCCTCTTTCATATTTGTTTAACTGCAGTTGGCATGGTTGTTCAACTGCAGTTGCCATCTCAGGTCAAGTGCCAGATGCCATTTTTGGACAACTGCAGTTGTTGCCATGTATGGCCTGGTCTACTACACTTGTCATGATTTGAAAACTTTAGAAATTGGCACCTACTACAAAAAAGGCATGGCAAAAAAACATGTTCGGGTAAAGAGAGAGTTCCCAACTGCTTACAAGCACGCTAGGGCAGTTGCCATGTACCCTGCAAAACACATGGCAACTCGGGTAAAAAAGAGAGTTGCCATTTGCTTACAAACACGCTAGGGCAGTTACCATGTACACTGTAAAAACACATGACAACTGACATCTTTGGGTGTGGGAGAGGAGACGGGCGTGTGGGCGAACTGATAAACACCAACACACCAGCCCCTCTGCGTGCGTGAAAACTGGCGTGTGGGCGAACTGCTAAACGCCCACACACCAGCCCCTCCACGTGGTGAAATGGTCGTGTGGGCGATTGAATGAATGCCCACACAGCAGCCCAGTCCTACGTGACATAAAAAATCTGGCAAAATATGCCAAAATTTGTGCAAACACAAACAGACGTTGATCCATGCGTGTGGGCGAGATACAAACGCCCCACACATGTGGGCGTTAGTATTTTCATATTTATAAAGGATGTTTTTATTAATTCATAAAATAGCATTAAAAGCATACAATGCAAAATGCATAATGAGTGTATATTTGGCATTTGCATGATTAAAATGAACATAGCCAACATGAACCGACGAACGAAATAAAATAGAAAAAAAAAGGTCATGCCGCCAATGGTAAAGTTTTTTTTTCTTTCAAAAAGTAGGTTAGAACCCCAATCTCTGTATAATTGTGATACACAAAACTATATTTATTAAATTTGATGCAAAACAACGAGGCTAAAGACATCAACAAACAAAGCGAGACAACAATGGCAGGTTACCCATACTGTTGTAGAGGGGCTCTTTATCCTCTTTCTATCTTTAATATATGATGTGCATGCTTGTGCGCATTTGAGAAAAAAATTTATAAGATAGGCAATTAGCACCTAGTACAACTAAATCGATTTCTTCAGCAACAACGCCTTCAACAAGGAATACCCACCCTCACGCCGTCGTTGCCACGTCCAACCGTATATGACAAGGACAATAATTTCCATCCTAATTACCGAGACCAACCAATGAAGATCTGCACACCAGCAAATAGATAACGCCTTCAATAAGATAATGACACAAGTTTTTTGCTGCCGAGTCTAACAAATGAAGGGCGAAACAAGAGTTTTCATCCCCGGACAAGAAGCAATGCTTCAATAGTTCAGTTGCCATCATGGAAACGGAACTTCCACTAGCTGTCTCGGCCAGCAGTGCTCCATGCCAGGCCAGAGTGGCACTAGCGGATAGGTGAGATGTCTTCCCACCCGAAGCCATTGCCATGGTCATCGAGAGGCCGCCCATGATGAGGTGCTAATATGTCCTCTCCCATTCCACCTCATAGTTAACCGACTAACAACGAACACTACCGATGGCGCTGCCAGCAGTCACCCAAACCTAGATCTAGCACGAGAGATTCACACCACCACCTCAAAATTACTAGGCTGCCTAGATTGGCTAGGGTGGTGTGCCATGGTGTCGCCATGCCGACTAGCCATGCCATGACACATGTCAATGTCGGAACTGACCATGCCGCACCGTCGCGGATAGCAAGGACATGAAGTCTCACTTGAAGCCCAACCACTACTGGGTGATAAGTTCCGCGGCCAGAGGCTCCACATTGATGTTGTCATAGATCATAGCCAGATCCGACATGTGTCGCAGCGGTTCCGCCTCATGCTGTCCGGCATTGATAGTTTCCTCCTCATCGGTGCAACCGTCAATTCAAGTGGCAGAGAGGAGCTCAGAAAGCCTATGGCGGTCAACCTTGCGCCCAAACCAACTAGCACATGTCCGTAGCTTGATAGCGCCCCTTGTCTTCATCGTCGTCGACCCGTAGGCGTCGCCATTCCCATGTTTGTCGCCCGACAGTCCTCCTTGCACACATATGTACCTTGGAAGCGTTGCACCTGCATGCTCTGACAAACCATTCAAGAGAACCTTAAGGAGCTGTTCGAGGGATCCCCGAGGAGGAGACGGGAACACAATTCACCAACTCTTATTCCGTTGTCATGACTGCGCGTCTAGTGGTAAAAGTCATTCCCATAATCTATCTCCACAACATGTTCGCGTGGTAGATTTTTTTGTTTTGCGCTAGAGTATCTTAACACGTTCCCCAACAGGCACATGGAGTAAAGTGCAAAATTCAAGTGAGAACGTGCGGTATTTTGACAAAGGGATCCTAGAAAATGCGACCTGCCCGTAGTTATGACCCAACGACCCTGAATAATTGCGAAAAAACCCGAGACTCATGCACATGGTCCTAATACGTCGAGTTGTACGGTAACATGTAGGCAAAATACATCCGGAAAGATCTCTAGTGATCTTGTTTGCATGACTGGCGGTAACATTAGGCAAAATACATCGAAAAACGTCTCTAGTGAGCTTATTTGCATGACTGGAACTAGATATGTGCATCGGCTTCTCGTCTCGGTGCTCAAGCTCGAAAGCTCAACATCTGGGTTGGGCTCGGGCTCAGCTTTTCAGCGTGAAGCCTGGCCTGAAAGCCCAAATAAAGCCTAAATGAGGTTTAAATAATTGTTTAAATTAAAAATAGGTATTATTATGTATTTGAATACCTTGAATATAATTATTTTAAATGAGAAGTGCACTGTTCACATGCTTCGGGCCAGGCTTGGGCTTGGGATTTTCACTTTGGGCTTTGTCAAGCCCGACCAGAAGGATGATCAGGTTTAGCTAGAACTACTTTATTTACTCGAACATGGCAATTCTTGAGTTCAGTGATGATTTTGCGCCCACAAAACAAGTTCAATGGTCATAGATGAATTTTACTCTTTATGTAAGAATTTTGTTTACTCTATAGGTATAAGATAAGAAAACATTCCATTCCCGAATCAAGTTGCAGAAACTGAAATATGGGTATTCGAGTCCCATGTCCCATAGGAGTCTGGGTCGTGTGTCAATTCCGGAACCGGATCCTCTAACTTAGAAGGAAAGTCACAGTGCTACAATGCTAGCCTAGTGTAATATGAAGAAGGAAAGTTATGGA